AGTCTTTGCATTTGCTCACGTGAGCAGCGTACACCCATGGGCAAATGGGGGACGCTAAATTGACTAATCAGAGCGCGCGCTTTACTTTGGTTATGTTATAATTATCGCTTCGCAGATTTCATGAAAAGTGAACACATTAAGAAGCCAAGGAGAAATGTTATCCCTGGAAGGAATGAAAAATTGGTGGTCGATCTCCTACTGTCTGCTAGACAGTTGTTTAATTATTGATGAAAGTTGTCTTCTATGTGGTAACAATATCGTTTAACACGCATGTGTGTTAATACAAATATTTTGTTACAGAAAACGAATGCGTTTGAAATAAATGTCTCTTCCACAAGGTAGATAACTCGTAGAAATACTTAAAAAAAAAACTGTTCTTAGGGGTGGGTGTGGTGGAGGACGGTCGACAGGTAACTTTTTTTATTCTTTTACATTAAGTTGTACAAGTAGAAGGGTAAATGTACAATTCCTTCTTTTCTTCTTTCCTCAACTTCCTGTTTTTCTATGATCCTTGATGTAAAACTATCTTGACGTTCTTGATACTGAAAGCAAAAGAAAGAAAAAAACTATAATTAGAAGGCTACTTTTGGCACTGATTCAACCAACTACATTTATTCAAAACACTGACTGAAATCGCAAGAAAGTAGAACCTCGAACAAAAGGACTTTGAGTCGTCGTCTGATAAAATTAGAGCTACTATTGTAAACTAAGTGAGAGGGATGATCCTAAAACAGAAGGCAATAAATGTACAGTTTCACTCAATTTTGTTTCTCTTATTTTTTTTTTTTTTTGAGTTCTTTTTCTCTTATCGTCCGATAGTGTGAAATTCACTCTTGGTATATGATTTGCTCGTTTTCGTTGCGTTTTGCACGTGAATTTTCTGTCAGGCTAAGCACTTTTGAATTCCGTATTATACATTCAAACTACCGTACAAGCTAATAGTAAAAAGAAAAAACCTAAACATGCCCTAAAGAAAAAATTTTATTACTAACAAACAATTGGTTTGCTAACTGTGTGTTCAGCACGTCGAGACAACATTTCAGACGAATTATTTTCAATACATTAATCGTTACATTATGCTGGTTGGACAAATCCTGAGGCGAAAAGAGCAGGAAGATCAAATTCCAACAATTTCATCAAAGCCAAACAGTGGGGGCTTTTTGACCTTAATTAAATTAATGAATCGTGAGGTATCTCTAAATTGAGTCTAGGGCTAGGATCAACCTATCTTTGTCCGAACGTCTTAATTTCCCTGCAATTATTACAGCGCAATCTGAACTATGGAGCAATTCTCTCAATGTTTTAAAGTGAACATGTTACACGACCGAGAGTTCACCGCTGGGACCTTACACTAAATCGCAACATCCCTCTGACACACAAAAGATGCACAACTTTCTAACCTGCAATCACTATTGGCTTGAAACTTTCAATCCAAGTTCACATCACTAACAATTCCTCCACGAATGTAGTCTTCAACGAAAAATTGTTCATCTGCAAAAAAAAAAATTGGTTCATGAACAAGAAAGACTAACAAATTGGCCACATAAGGTACCTGAAGCAAACCACGGCAACGAGGACATAAGACGTGATAAAACAAAAGATTTTACGAGCAGAGCAAAAGCTCAGCACGTGGGTTTAAAAATTTGGTACATTTCTTTGTCCTCTGCAGAACAACAACGTGAAATCACCAAACTGTGTGGTCTGAGAATAGAGACCCAGGCAGCAAATAACTTAAGTTTCCATTTGGAGCTAAATGAAGCTCACCTACCTTATGCTGAAGTTGAGGTGTCGTGCCATAAGAGACGGTAAACACATCCAGGCATTCGCAAGATCATGTTTGAAAAGACATGTTCCTCAGATTCGCCCTCCTGACTCCTTAGGGGTCCTTAAGGTTTTACTTGATAATTTATGGCAAAGTTTCATTTTATCTACAATGGAGAAATAAAATAACAAAGGAGTAGAATTTAGTCGAACACAACTCCATCTCTGCACTAAATTTGTCTCCAACTGTACTCCATGTCACCACCCTGGAGAAAAAATTCAAATACTAACCTAAAAATCTACACTGATCAGCCAAACACTTTACAGTTGCTTGATTTGTAAGTTCACCCTCATCAATTTATTTGCCCATCACTCCTAAAACCATATCTTAAAATTTTCCTGCCATTTTTTTTACTCCATTTTCTTTCTTTTTCATTCACCATGCGGAAGTTGATCACCTATAGACTGGCTGGTTAATATTTTCAAATTGACCGTATTTTTACAGACTTAAGTTAACAATTACCAAGTCAAGTAAAATTTTGCTTCTTATTAAAATTGTCCTTTGTACTCTCAACCATTAAATGCTAATTGTTTTTTTTTTTTTTAAATATCAATCAGTCACAAATGATATGGCTAATACTGGAGTTCAAAAGGTCTATTGACCTATCATAGAAGAGAAGCAAAAAATTACTCGTCAGTCAGTTAGTCCATCACAGAGTCAGTCAGTCAGTGATCTAGCCATTCACCCAGTTAGGCAGTCACAAAGCCAGTAACTTAGTCATTCCACCAATAACCTGTTCCAGGCATTCAGTTAGTAAAACAGAACAAATTAAATGAACAATGTGATAGTAGCAGCAGAGTAAAAGAAGGAAACAGGTTTGGGTCAAGTCACATAGCCTGACCCTAACCTACCTTGCTTTTTACTCAATTACTATCCAGGGTTCTTGCTAAGTTTTATCATAGGAGGTAAAAGAAAAGAAATAGTTGGTAGCTTTGTTACCCCCTCCCCCCCCCTATGCTTTTTACTCAATTACTATCCAGGGTTCTTGCTGTTTTTTTCATAGGAGGTAAGAGAAAAGAAATAGTTGGTAGCTTTGTTAGCCCCTCCCCCCCCCCATGCTGGGGGTGTGAGGGCGGCATAGGCCCCCATTGAGGTGACTGTGAGGAATGAATTTGGCCAAAAAAGCAGGATCTCTTCAACATATATTGTATTTCAAACCAATAACATGTGATAGATATCTTCACAACTTTGGTTGGAAGAAGACATGTAATGTTTTTCCAAAAATTGAAAAGAAATTGTTGGATAACTTTGGTAAATATTCCAGTCCCAGCTCTCAGTCAAAAAGCTAGCAACCTTTTCTTGAATGGCAGGTGAATTTAAGCAGTTACTGGCTCTTAACAAGAATCCTGCTATCGCGCCTGATTTTACTGACTGAATGCCTGGAACTAGTGATTCAATCAGCTACCAGTCCAATGTTGGTCTGTTGGCCAGCCATCCAGCTGGTCAGTCTGACACAATGACTGTCACTTATTCAGTGAGCCAATCAGTTCAAACATCTTTTGATAAGTCATTTATCTAGTCTAAGTTTTACAGTTAGACAGTCAGAGCTAGTCTACTAATGGGTAAATTATTCAGTTAAGTCCATCAGTAAGTCAGCCATTTGTCCAGTCAGCAAGTCAGTTCACCTATCCATCACTAGGTCAGAGTGTCAGCCATTAACTAAGTCAATCTATTGCTTGGTCCATCATTAGTCAGTTATTCATTCAGTCAGCCACTCAGTCTATGAACAGTGCTTCATTCAGTAAGTCAGCCAGCCTGTCAGCCCACTAGTTGTCACTTGGTCAGTGGCTTGGTCACACCATCAGTACATTAGATACTTAATTACATGTAGTAAGTAATTCAGCCATTTTAGATATTCTATCAGTCAGTTGATTGGTTATTTGAAGTCAGTCAGTTGGTTACAGTAGTCAGTTAGTCAGACCATCTCTAAATACTAACTGAGGGTTTCATCCCATTTTCAATTTGCCCCTTAAAAGGAAAAAGAACTTTACAACCCAAGAAAATCACACTAAAAAAGTGTAGTATTAGGACAGTAGTTTGTTCTCACTATAATATATTGTCCTTGGCAAAAACATTCTAAGAAACCAGGCTTGAGTTAAAGTTTTCTGATCCGTTAAAATGCAAATCACTATCTAATCCTTTTTTCCAAGATTAATTTCAAATTCTTTAATGTCAGTAGTAACTGGTATGATCTGAGTACAAAATTTTAGGAAACAAGTAACTGCTTTGATATCAGTCTTAAGCACAACAATATTTGAATTGCACGAATTGACTTCAACTTACTTGTTGTACAATGTATTACTGAACATTTGAGTTACAAGCAGAAGTTTACGGGCTGATCAAGCTTAGTATTATTTCACCTAAAAGGAACAATGTCATGTTTTTGTTATAAAAAAAAAAATTCAAAGACAAGAAAAGCTAAGTGGCAAACTTTGTATATCTTAAGGGGCAAACTTTTCTTGGTATGGGTGATCTTGTAGGGGCAAACTTACAGAGGGGTGAAACCTATGTAAACCTCACTCTATAAGTCAGTCAGTCAGTCAGTCAGTCAGTCAGTTGGCCAATCAGCCATTCAGTTAGTCCAATAATTAAAAATAGGTAATTACCAGTATGGACAGTATGGACCTCGGTCCGTACTGTCAAGACCTCGAGCCGATATTCTCCCAGCACGGCCCTCACACTTGGTTAATAACATCTAATTATTCTATTTGTCTTCTAACCTGAATAACTGCATGTATGTATCACTTTCTAATACACTGCTGAGGAAGTCAGTCCACCATGTTCTCTTGTTATACATTGTACTCTTTATACCACCTGTGAAAAGAAACATACTATGAAATATACTATTAGATTAATTCTTACAAATGTTCACTGTAGGAGTTCTTATGAGGTACTGTCGTGAGTTACCCTGGTTCTGTTTGTAGAATTATAGTGTCATTTTAGAGCCAATACATTTAATTTTTGTGAGTCTTGTGCATTTAAAGTGCTTGGTAAATCACAACCACTTGTAGGTAAAAACAAGTAATTGGATATAGATTACCTGAACATTATACCTATCATACCCTAATAAAAAGGAGAAGGGACTTAAATGAATGAGACAAAAAAAAAAACCCGAGCCAACAGATGTTTGCAGCCTAAGCTGCACCCTCTCTTGAGCCTCCTGGTTCTGACACGTCTCAACAACATTACATATATCTTAATAACCAAGTGTGAGGGCTGTACTGGGAGAATATCAGCCTGAGGTCTTGACAGTATGGACCGATCGCAGCGAGGTCCGTTCAAAAAAGACCAAGGGCCGATAGTCTTCCAGTATGGCCCTCACGCTTGGTTAATAAGAGATTTATTATACAACTGAAGTTCAAAGGGACACAAGTGTGGTATCATTCGGGACCATTCGGAACAGTGCCCGGTCCAATACTGAGAGAATATTGACCGGCAATAGAGCATTTTGATTGGTTGATTTTAGTTATTGGCCCTCTGACTGCCCGAGTCAGGTAATAATGTCACATATTCCTAGCCCACTAGCTGAGGTTTCACAGGGTACAGTATAAGCAAGACTGCCAAACACCAAGGATAGCGAATCCTGCCTCATTTAACAATACAGTACACTGTTGCAAGTTTCCTTTACAAAAAAAAATTACTTAATATGCAATATTTGAAGAGTAACCACCATAAACTTTATATCAATGTCAAAAAGTTATGAAATGCACTATCTGACTAAAGTCGTTCTGTTTTCGCTTGATCTAATTGTAAAGCAATTGAAGCTTTATGTGGGGATATTTTGGTATTCCTATTGGCTGCTTTGCAAATATTGGTAAAAAAGTATGTAATGGGAACCTATCCAGAAGTTGTGTGTGACAGATCTTATTTTAATTCTGCTTTCCAGCAATTTTGATTTCAAGGTTTAAAACGCTTGAGCTCCCCAGAACTCATTGTTGGTTGTCGATAAGGTGGAAGCAGTCAGACTGCTTCAGCCATAAGTCGTTATCTGTTTTGGTTTTGGTGCCATTTTTGATCCAATTTCTTTAACCCTTTGACCCTTTAAGAATGACTAACTTCTAATTTCTCCTTACAACATCACCTTGGAATCAAATATTCTTATGGACTTAAATGTCCATAGGAATAAAGGAAATTATCACCAACTAAAGCAGTGGTTTCAAAACAAGCCGGTGACCACCGGAGATCCACTGGTCACTTGATTGTATGTCACTGGCTACTCTGGTCATAACAGTCTGCTCATGACAAACAATCTCAGCGTTATCGCAGCCGCCTACTTTTCCAGAGTCGGCTGCCTACTTTTCCAGAGTCGGCTGCCTACTTTTCCAGAGTCGGCTGCCTACTATTCCAGAGTCAGCTGCCTACTTTTCCAGAGTCGGCCACCTACTTCAAAACAATTTGAAACCCCTGCTAAAGTAGCTCTTGAATTTTAACAAAATTCTCCTTGTCAGTACCATAGGAAAAGTAAAGAGAACAGCACAGAGAATATGCATACTGATGTAAGGGTGTTGGGAATTCATACTTTTACAGCCAGTCTTCTTTTTTATTCTTATCCTTTTAATCTTTCCCTGTTCACAGTCCAGTGTAAATACACAGAGTTCATAGCAAAGATCACCCCATGGAAGTGAGATCAAGAGATATTGGTAGGGTTGAAATTCAAGGACAAGGATATTTTGCCACCAAAATCATGT